CACCCGTTTTACGTGAAGTTGCGTAAAACTCGGTGAAAAACGCGATATTCGCGGTGATATGCAGTAGTCGTGAAATATACTCTTCACTAGTGTTTTTCATATCACTAGGGTGGTGAAACTCCAATGAATAACCATAATTTAATGACACGAAGTAAATACTCACACACTATCACGACACACTGAGTAACTCGAAAACTTATAACCGATCTTTCCTAGCTCAAAATCAGTGCGGAAAAAATATGCACATGGTCAACTACATGTGGAACAAAAATGCAGATGAAACTCTGAGAAATTCTCATTCGTTTCTGTACACTTCTACCCAAATTCATGTATTAACTTCAATTTCCTGAGCTCAGCTGAATCCGCCAATATTGCTCAAAGAACAGCAACAATATTGATACCTCTAAATGCATGCCGCCAGCCACGACATGTTCTCTCCAGTGCTAAGCAGTCCACAAAAGTGAGGTATTCCGACAATATCAGATGCACATCTTCCAAATTCAGCAAGCTATCTATGGGGGGACATCGGGAATGAAATGTTGATGGCATGAACGACTGAAACTAAAGGAGTGGATAATTTTAATTGATAATGGAAAAGTTGCATAAAACTCATGTTGCATTTATGTGATACCACACTCTCCCCAACATCGATTGAAATGAACCATGTTATACTATCTCATTCCTACAATAATAGGAACAAAGATTCTAACATGCAGCAGACTAATACGCCCATATTCCTTCGAGTGAGAATATTCTTCATTCAACCGTAAGGACTCAACACAACATTACTACTGCTGCATAACGACATCATATGGTTGAGCTATTAGCAGATAAGCTCTGCATTCACCACGGAGTCTGCATCTACTCTCCTCGTTGCCACTGCGAACGCTGCTGTACTCAAACGCAACTTGGTAGGATGTCAGGATTATTGAGCGGTGATGATGATGAATATGTATGAGTGTTACTCTCTGATGGATACTACGTATCATGCACGCTGATTAACAGTTTCATTCGATTTGTAAGCAGATACATCATGCAAAGTGAAGACAGTTTCTCAAGGAGTGGTATAGGCACAGTCTTCAACTACTTTCCTGGTCACTCCAAATTCGAAATACCAGCATAACGCTGCTCATAAGATCTCTATAAATACTTTCAGGATCGCCATCTCCACTCCTTCACTCGAAATTGTGACGAGTGGGTTACTAATGACTAGGACTTTGTTCTCCTTTACTCATGACCCTCCACAATCGTCCCTATTGCACAATATCCTACAAGCTGTGCTAAAGTCCAGGCTAGCTACTATGCTATGCTAATATAATGATACAAGTGATGATAAGGTGTTCATTGTATTGTATGTGATAATATTCTTTTCAGCCTATCAACTCCCACTCGTATTATTATTACTAATAATATGTCTCTATCTTCAAGGCTTGATGTTGAGATGGATATTGGAGAGTCTAGATCTACCACAAAATTAGTGACAGTGCTTCGCTTTCCTCAGCTGAGCCTAGATATTTCCTCACTAATTTACATACATATTCGGCTAGAAGTGTACAGAAACCAATGAGAATCTCCTCAATTTTCCTCGGAATTTTTTCGCAAATATCACCAACACATGTAGTTGACCATGTGCATATTCGACATTTACCCCACAGCTCTGCACATAATGTCAGCATAATCGACTCATTTTCTATATGCGAGTACAAGCGCGTTCGTTGTATAAGCTTATACTAATACTAAGTCTAATCTAACCTCAAAGTGTCAGGTCTAAACTCATATCATTTTTTGTCAACTGAAATTTCACATATTCTTACCATACGCAGCTGAAATTTTGTCTAAAAAGACCTCAATTTGAAAAAAGGGACGTACCCTCATCTGTACAAGTATAGTAAAAAGAGCTTCACCATTGAAAAGAGTATGTATTCATTCGAGTTTCATACGTAAAATTCAATTTTGGGAACGTATATGAAATCACCGGAGAAAGGCCCTTGGGCGCGCGCTAAATCAAAAACGATACTTACAAGCGCGCGCGCCCTAGGATTAGCCAACAACCCAAAGTTGACTTGTGGAGAAATTCCGAAGGCGTTTAAGATACCACTTCGCATGACGGTTTGGTTTACATTGTAGTTGAATGTGTATTTGAAATTGTATCGGCATCAGAGTCAAATTTTGAGCTTATTCTCGATCATCGATTTCGGTAGTTTCACAGAGTCTTTATGTATTTCATTCATTTCTCGAAAGAAAATGTTTCGTACTCCCATCAGTGCTGAAAAATATCATCGCTTTCCTCAGCTGGGCTCGACAGTTTCCTCACTAAATATACACGTTAACATAGGAATCAGTGTAAAAGTGTATAGGACTCAATAAGAATTTCTCAAAATCTCCTCAGAAGTCACCAACATATGTGGTTGACGATGAACTAACTCCCATGATCGTCATAGTAGCAACACACTCTTATTCAGAGAAGTTTATTAAAATAGTTGAAGTTCAATGTTGAAAAGTCAAATTTTGATTTTTTTTTGGAGTTGATTTTCAAAAGTTGAAATTTTCAACTTGAAAAATCACTTTTGTTGAAGTTCTGCTGTTGAACTACGGTCATCCATATTTCATAAAGTGCTTCACACTTGCATCAACACACAAAATGGCAACTCCCTTTCCCCGAGAATTCTCTCGACCAGAAATGCACGAGTCGAACATTCTCACTATCATAAGAGAACTCAGCGATAGTGAAAATCCGAAAGCCGAAGTAAATACTGATGTTTATTTTTACGTTAACAACTTTATAGATACTTAAACCGTTCAAAGTTGAGTACGAGAGACTATACATGATTATGAAAGAGCAAAACGATAATCATTCGCGCTTAGTGAAAACGTGAGAAATCATATGAACAAGAAACTCCACATAAAATTTTTGTGTAAAAGGTGTAAAGAATTAACGGCTGAAATTGCCACCAGTTCTAACAAAATCCAATCAGCGACAAAAGTGAGAGAGGCGAGTGCGAAGATTCTCGAGGAACTCAGGAAAGAAAAGGTAACCGAAATGGCAACTCCCAATCAGCTCGGGAATTGCTAAGGTTTTTAGACGGCTCTCGAAGACGACTCGAAAGCGTCGGAAGAGCGCCAGAAAAAGGAAATCGAAAATATGGAAAGTTCTCGCGAAGAGGCTAAATGTGAGGCTACAGTTCTTAGATGAATATTCGATCACTTGTGTGATCATCAGATCTACGCCAACAGATGAGGCAATTCAACGACGCTAGAGATGCTGCGACTGATGAACAAGGGACGACGCCATTCGTAATCTCCCAAGTGAGTTGATATAAAGTTTGCATAGTGTCGTGGAGAAGAGCATTTCTGCACTTTCGAGATCGGCAAAATATTTTAATACTCGTGATAGTCACCATCACAGCGACAAATTCGTGGATTCGATACAGCTTCATCATGAAAAAGTATCATGAGCTACATACAGGGGAATTTCACTTCGCGTGAATTGCTATAACATTGCATGTAACTTATAAGACGTGTATGTCTTCGCAACCGACAGCAAAATTGTTTTCTGCGAAGAAAATTGTTTTTTCACTAGTGTTTTCGGTATCACGGGTATTACTATATACTGTCTTATCATGCAATACAGCTGATTCATTCTTGGTGTCTTTTCACAGCTACAAGTGCTTCAAAAAGAGAGCAAACAACTCGAGGATTTAGAAAAAGAGATCGCCACGCTGAATCGAGATACTTCTGTGAGATCCCTGATCACATTCGTTTCGCGTGGAAGATTCGCCAACTTAGGAGTGCGACTCCATCACAGTGGCACTCAAACAGCAGGAAAAAGAAACAAAAAAGAAAACGGACAACATTCGAGAGTCTCTGAATAAGTTGGTGAATTACAAACTCTCAAAGTTGTTCATTTTCTCTACTATGTAGACTGCGAACAGAACGCAAGGAATCTGAATCCACTTTGGCGAGCAAACGATCATTCACCCAACGTCAAGTGAGAATTATGATCATGAAAATGTTGATTATGTTTAATCAGAGAGAAAAACGAAATTCAACAGCACAAGAGGTGAAGCAGGGAAGGTTGGAACTCAGCAGAATCAGAATTGAAAGGGAAACTGCTGAGCGACAACTTCATGAGATAGAGGAGACACTCAAAGATGAACAGGGCACTGTAAGCACGACTTCAACAAATCACGCGCATTGCATTTTTCGGGGAGAATTTCATCCATAGTGCGAAAACATATGTTAGCTTTCTTCACTACATTATGAAAATCCACACACATTGGAGTTTCACGACACGTGTTACGTGAAGTGGCGTAAAACTCGGTGAAAAACGCGATATTCGCGGTGATATGCAGTAGTCGTAAAGTATGTTTTTCACTAGTGTCTTTCATATCACTAGGGTGGTGAAACTCCAATTTTGAGTAGAAGTGTATAAAAACCAAGGATACGTTCCCTAAATTTTCTCACAAAAATTTTGTATTTCTTACGTGAAGAATTACATTCATTCACGACCAGTGTGAGAGTATACGTTTCGTTCCCTCACTACATTATGGAAATTGCACAAAATTTTGGGTAGATGCCTACAAAAACTACGGAAAATTTCCCGAAATTTCCAGATTTTCACCAAGTGATATATTCCCACGGCAGGTAAGAGAAATGCTCAGAGAGGAAGAACGACTCGATAAATTGTGAGAACTTCGAAAAAAAAACAATTATGATGAGAATTCTCAGAAGCGTAGGTATAAAAGTGTCATCGAGGAGAAGGAAAAGTTAGATAGAGAACTGAGGAAAGAACTCAGCAAAGTTGATAAAATAATGCAAGACAACGCGGACAAGGAAACGGAAATTCGCACGAAAAACGAAGAGGTTGGTTCTCGATCAGTGTTGGAATATATGTTTGCTTTCCTCGACTCAGCTCGTAAGTTTCAAAAGTTGATTCATTATGAAGATTTATACACTACTAGAGTGGAAGTGTACGAAAAAACAAGGAGAATTTCCTCGAATTTTGTTCATTTTCACCGACACATGCAGTGTTGGAATATATATAAACTGTTTACATAAATGTTTATCATACGATCTAAGCTGATTGAAGTAATGCCATGCTATACCACCAATGATCAATACTAATGATTATATACTGTAAACGTTTATATATCTACGTAACACACACTACAAGGAGTTTCTTCACTAATCATGGGAGTTTACACACGCTCTGGAGTAGAAGTCTTTAGGGACAAAAAAGATCCCAGAATTTCCTCAAAATTTCCATATTGTCACCTACACACGTAGTTGACAATGTGCATAATTTCCCCCCGCACTGTTTCTGATTGTTTCCAATAAAATGGAGACCTCAGATCGACTCCGTGAATAAAAGCATTCGAGGATTGAAAAATCTCATCAGTTTATGCCAAGAGAGAACAGAGACGACGAAAAACGAAGTAGGTCGTTTTTGTTTCGAAAAAAAAATGAAGTAAACGTTTGACGGTATCATAAGAATACCTTCTGTGAGTGTTGGAATATTCTTCATATATTTTATATACACATAGCGAACATATATTGGAGTTTCACCCGTTTTACGCGAAGTGAAATGTGAAATGTGTTTTTCACTAGTGTTTTTCACATCACTAGGGTGAAACTCCATTATATATGTTCGCTTTCCTCAGCTGAGTTCAGGAGTTTCCAAAGCTACATTATAGCAGTTTGCACACGACTTGGAGTAGAAGTGTACAGAAACCAATAAGGATCTTTGCAAGATTTCCTCAGAATTTCCACGACGCATGCAGTTGACCATGGATTTGTCCTCCCCACACTGCTGAGGTAAATGCTAGTAAAAAAATATGCAATTGTGTGAACCTTGGAAAAACGAATGAGGAAATTTCTTCATCTTTTTTCTCCTCTCTTTCTTTTTTTTTCTCAAATTCGAGAAATCAGCGTTTCACAGATTGAATACCGCAACTAATGCCACTCTACTACCAATACATCCGTGAATATTGGTGTACACTAAGTCACTAGTGATAATCAATAATAATATCTATACCTAGTATCGTTGGTCACGTCTCTGTGTCGGATGCTCAGGAGAAGTCGGTATGAAAATCAATAAAAATAGGTCTTGAAAGTTTTCTCATCATCATCACTGGAGTTTCACCACCCTAGTGATATAAAAAACACTAGTGAAAGACATACTTTACGACTACTACACGCGGCGAATATCGCGTTTTTCACCGAGTTTTACGATGCCACTTCACGTGAAACGGGTCGTGAAACTCCAGTCACGGCAGAAGGCAAGCAATGAATTTTTTCTATTCGATGACTTCCCGAAACATGTCAAAAAATAACTTATATTATGGTATCGATTACTATCATTGTATGATGGAGTTTTACTCGTGATAAAGAAGACACAGGTGAAAAACATGTTTCACATTTCACTTCGCGAAAAAACGCATGCGAGCAGCGAATAATGCGTAAAGCACATGATGTGTTTTACGTGATATAAGGTGATTCGTCCGGTGTGATTCGCGAAGTGTTTTCAACCCACTTCATACAGCGAATATCGCTTTCTTCACATAGAGTATTACGCCATTTCACGTAAAACGGGCGAAACTCCCAATGAAATGAATATTGGAACTCAAGTCTGAAAACAGAACAGCGACTTTGAGTGGACGTTGAACTAAGTCGACAGTTTTTTTCAGTGAATTCGAAAAAGTAAATTTGAAGTTATTTTCGGCCAGTAGTATGAAAATAGAAAGTAATTTTTATGTTAGATTGAAAGGCTCGATAAGGAAAAGCAAGTGAATAAAGAGCGACTAATCGAACAGCAATCAGCTAACCAACACGTGAGAGTCTGGTTGGGGATTTGACAATGAAGGTAAACTTAGTCGAAACACCGATTCGATGCTCGTAAAAAACGTGTAGAAGATCTGATCAAAGAAAGAGATCTTCTCAATAAGGACGTGCTCAAGTGAGGATATACTCGATGGGGTGCATGCAAATGTGAAGAATGTGTGTTTGCTACTCCGGGATTAATGATAGTGAACAACTTGTCGCTATCATAGTCTCGTAAGGTTACTTTTATCACATCACATGTTCATAGCAATGTTTACATTCTCAGATCGATTCTCATTGATATCGGGGAATAACGCACAAGTTTTTGTCTCTACAGAACCCTGTATTCTGCTACCTACTCTATACTGGAGTTTCACTACCCTAGTGATATGAAAAAACACTAGTGAAAAACACATTTCACGACTAGTGCAAGGCGCAAATATCGCATTTTTCACGGAGTTTTACGCCACTTCACGTAAAACGGGTCGTGAATCTTCATTATATGATTGAATTGAATTGACGATGATTGTACTGATACCAAAATTGTCTCTCTTTCTGGAAGCAATACACACCGCCACATCTTCGGCATTGCGTATGTAATCGCTAATCGTCATTAGTACATACTGGATCAGCACGATTGATACACGTTTGAACTCACGGAGGAATTTCGCGTTAATCGCGAAATGTCGCGAGTATTTCACGTGAAATGGATTGATTTGTCCGTGGTGATACTCGGTGTGATTTCACTTCACCTCATATCGCGTTTTTTCACATAGAGTATTACGCTTCTTGAAGTGAAACGGGTGAAACTCCGCTGTTGTACCCTTAGTCTGTGTGAAGCTCGTTACTATTCTACAGTAGCCGCTT